TATAAGCAACCAAGCTGATAGATCGTTAAAACCTCTGGAAAATCACTCGGGAAATTAAAGTTTATCTATGGAGAACTTTAGAACTGACATTGGTTGATTATAAGCACGACTTAACGAAGTAAAATGATAGGAAAACCCCATAAAAGGAACTCTTGCTCATTTGACCTCAGATTTGCATCAAAATTGATAGTAACTAAAAGAAATAGGGCGGTCAGAAACAACAAAATTTTCAGGTGCTCAATTGACCGATTCTAGCAGTTAGAATGTAATTTAAAACATAAGTTACTAATCAACAGGCAAGTACTTGATTCCCAGATTTCCAAGTGGAGACCACCAGCTAAATCAACAAAGGGCTTCATATGATTGGGAAAGAACTACACATGTTTAACAAATTCCCATCATTGGACAGGCAATCAGAGCCAAACGCAGCACAACATTCATTTATATTCTAAAACTGAATGCAGAATGAACTATAAACAACTAATATACCATAAAACTTCCTATTCTTATTTCATTTTTGGGTATTACCAGAAGATAAAAAAGTAAAAGAAAACATGCATAAGAAAGCAACAGGAAATTACCTGGCCATCAAGTTGCTTAGCAAGGGATACAGATCTTTTTAGAACTTCCTCTTGTATGCGGGGATCATTATCATCGTAAGCCCGAACCAGCAAAGGGAGCATAGAAGACACTAGTTGCTCTGAACTTGTCTATAACAATGGCATAGACTCAGAAGATTAAGATTTTCAATAATAAAGAAAGACAATTAAAAAAAATATATGGCCAAGAAGAGATCTGAGTGGACAAAACTTTCATGTCAATTACAATGTAAACATCTGCTAAGGGAATTGGTTTATTAAGCATTAAGACAGATTCCTGCCATGTAAAAGAAGAAAAGGATCTATATATTTTGTGTGCCTGACTAACTTAATAATGATTATGACATCAGGCTTCCTTGGTATATGAAGGAAGAAATTTTCACGATAATCACTAATCTGGTCATGTATTATAAATCAATAGATCCACTGTAACTGACAAACTCCTAATAGAATAGAAATACTGATCAGTACACTGCTAGCACTTCATTCTTTTAACCCTCACGATAACCGTTCATCTCCATATTTGCATCAATGACCAAACAATTTGTAAGTCGTCTACAGCTGTACAGCATTAACTTCATTATTCCATTTAAAAACAGGCAAAAATACAGCAATAAATGAATCACCAAGGCAGTCCTCCTTCTTCTACCAAGACTTAGGGGACCTGACTAACATTTTGACTAACTTAAAAATCCCACTTCTATTGCATCTGGGTGGAACTCTCTTGGAAACTTGTTAATACATTGCTCTTTTCTTGCCGAAAATATAAATGAAGCACCAAGGGTGTGCCATCCACATGCAACAAGGATTTCTCCTATTCTTTGTCAACCACATATTTCAGAAGATAGACAAGAAGATTAGACTAAAAGGCCGACCTGACTAACATTTTGACTAACTTAAAAAATCTCTTCTATTGCATCTGGGTGGAACTCTCTTGGAAACTTGTTAATACATTGCTCTTTTCTTGCCGAAAAGATAAATGAAGCACCAAGGGTGTGCCATCCACATGCAACAAGGGTTTCTCCTATTCTTTGTCAACCACATATTTCAGAAGATAGACAAGAAGATTAGACTAAAAGGCCCTTTCGGCTTCACTACCTATATAAATTCCGGACCAAGTAGAGATTCCACTTAGCATTGAGTTATTACCTTGTTGGAGAACCACAAAAGGAGTAGTTGTCCACCTTGGCTGCCTCTTACATATATAACAACCATTCGTCAATGGTGTATCTCTCCCCTTCATAAGTCTTTGTCTTGAAAAAGAACAAAGTGTTCACAAGGGTTGACCAAGGTGGTACCGTGCATGCATAAAAACAAAAAGTAATTGCAGAAAAGAAGATGAAAAAGATCTATAATATCTTCCTCAAGTTATCTGGTTGAAGCACCAACAAGATGGTTACACCTCAGCTACTCCTTTACCTAAACAATACCCTTTTTAAAAAAATAAACCTAAACAGTATCACTACTTCTCATAATTGAAACTTAGAAGAGAACACACCCCCCGTCGGCCCCCCAGTATCCCCATCTCAACCAATTGGCCATTCATTACAATATTTTAAGACTCAAGAACTCCATATCAAATTTGTCTTTCTTCTTGGACCTCCAAACTCCCCATGTCCTCAATGTTCACGCTCACTAGACATCTATATAACTTCCTAAGATTTAGATACTCCACTTTTCAAATATTCACTTTGCTTACTTTTTTAAGGCACCAAAATTGTATACAAACAGAAATAGAAGATTTTGAAATTGGGAAGCAAATACTTTGTAGCGTCTCATTTTACTGTCAGTTACCTTGTTAATAATAAGCTCCGCATGCTTTACAAGTAGTAGTAGTGTATCACCAGCAGCAGTACTCAAGACAGGAACAAGAGCTGGCAATGTTATTAGCTCAAAGTCATTTTTATCCTGCAATATATCTGAAGACATCATTTTCCATTTCAAGACATTGATAAAGGGTAATTGCACCTTCATCTCTCTCTAAAAACCGATTATTACACGCACATCATCCTTCATTTTGCATGTTATAAGCAAGAAATCAGTACATTCACGGAAAATAGTCCATCTTATCAAAATGTACATCTACATAAAAATTTTTATGATGCAGTCCTTAGAGCTACAAGTATTAGCCTGTAAGTCAAACTAAAAATATATATATACAAAATGAGAGGGAGAATAAAAAACTATACTATTTGAAAAAAAAAGAAATGAAAAGGACAGCATGCCATACTTGATTTTAAAGATGATCCAGCATTTTCCATGGTTTATTTGTTTTTTTGTATGAGTCACCTTTTTTGTCTTTTCGGAGATGGCTTATAATCCCTCTTTCCTATTCTACATAGTTCTTTTTTTATGGAAAAAAAAATTGATGCAGCACTATTATTCATCAAAGGTTAAAAATACTGATGACCATTAATGATATCCCCTCTGTAGACAAGTTGATTGCTGGTATGGAAAACAATACCTGAGATTCTGCTATTGTTAAAACCATGGGCAGAATCATAGGTTGCATTACCAAATTCCTTAGTTCTGCACAAAGAGGTGGAAGTACCTGCATGATGAAAAAAATATGATTCATCTAACTAATTCATACTACAAAAAATGGAGCAGACAAATTTGTTGGATCACTACTATCTTGACAATAAGCTTAGTGAACCAGAGATGACAACAATTTAAAAGTGCAGCATGTTGATAGGATATAGGCATTGCTTCAAACAATGCCTATATCCTACCATCTGCACAGAACGCATCATTTATTGCAGTTGAAACAAGTCCTTTTTTTTTATCCACAACTAAAAGCATTGAGAAATTACAAAAAGACAGGTGGGTGCAAAAGGTGGTTTATCACTGCTCTGTCGTTTCATTGTTTTCATTAGCCAAACTTTGTCAAAAACCATGGTATATATGTTCTATCAATATTTAAGTAGAATTATACAAGAACAACCTTATACCGCAATACACGGGAATCAAAATCTTTCCACATATCTGATAATGCTTTTAAGAATTCAGACTTCTGCATATTATCTCTTTCCTGCAATAAAACAAGATGTATAACATGAGAGAATATCATATCCACCAGTGTACTTTAAGTTTCCTGAAAAAATATGCCCATTATTTGTAAAAGCATGTTAGGACAAATTAAATGCAAATGCATACAAGCATGTGGTCGAGGAAGCGGAGAGCACGCAATCTAGTGTCATTGCGGAAAAATGAAGATCCTGCAAAGAAAAAATGTTTTTTTAACCAAATAATAGACCTTAATATATGGAATAAGGGCAAAAGTCCTGCAACAATAGCCAAACCATACACGTACAAACTTGAGTTTGGTTCAACATAGAATAGTAGTAAAATCACAATATAAATGGGATAAACTCTTTAATGAAAACAGCACTCTAATTTTAAGTCAATTTCATATCCAATTTAAGTTAGTTATTTTTGTAGTTAGAGGACCTTATTAATACTTTGATTAAACCGTAAATTTCTTGTGCATGTGTCTGGCATCCCCTTGCTGCCATTATTAATACTAAACTATACCCTTGATATTTCGAAAAAAGTTAGTTAATTTTGTTATCCCTTCTTGACAAGTAGGAACATAAATTCATCATCAAATATCAAGTTACAACCAAATTTTACATACCAAATAATAAGATTTAGGAATAGGATGAGAATAAAATGAACTTGAAGCAAACTCAAGTTAATTCCATGACACCGATCTCAAATGCAGATAATCCAAAATTGATTGATATAACAATCGTTAAAAGTGATAGACATTAACAGGCCTACAACGGGAAGCTCCTCACCTCATCAAGAGACAACATCCTGAAAGATACATTGTTATCTAAAACATTATTATCATCCAATGATGAGTTCATGAATCATAAAGCACTGGATGTTTGGTGTTGATGAATGATATTGTGGAGTCTAGGGATTCAGGGAGGCAAACACATTGTTCATATGGGAAAAGAAGACTACAAAGAGGAAAGAAAGACACGCACGCTTTTAAAAGGTTAGGACTTTTTAAGTATTCTATACATGCTCCATCATCTTCCATGATCAGTAACCTTCACTTCTTTATTGATTAAAAGAACCATAACAAAATGAAGAAGATATAAATGGTCTATCAGGCTTTAATCTTTTACCCGTAAAGTCCATTGCCGTGGGCCTGAAAGATTCATTCACTGAGAGCATCCTTTGTAAGTCAGGTACCAGTTCCGAAGGTATCGAGGAGAAAGCGTCATTTGATAAATAATTCAGGGTATTCATGTACTGCAGGAAAGACACAAAAATTATTTATTGAAAAAAAGTGAAAATCATATCCTTATTCTCTACAAGCCTATAGGCTTCAGACAAAAAGTCATTTTGCACATGAAGAATTCTTCTCACTGTTTTATCTTGTGCTTAACCTTTGCTGAAATACACAGCTCATTTGATAATGCTCATTATAAGACTACCTTAAAATCTCCAAATTTTGGGGCCTTTGTGATTAAATTGCGAAGTAAAAGTTACCTCAAAAACCAATAACCAACTCCAAAGTAAATGCATTCTATTAACTCAGGGATATTTCTTTTGTGTCTTTCGATGAAAATCAGGGTGTATTTGGTTTGTAATATATTGGAAGGATATCCCAAGTTGGAGCAAGAAAAGAACAAGCTTTAAATTACCAAATTCCCCCATCTATTATACTAATTAAGTTTTTATTCTGAATTAAATAAAGTTACAATTTTAAAAATAACAATAATCTATTGGAATTTCAAAATAACTACAAAAAAAATAAAACTAAAACTATTATAATAAATAAAATTTCTAGCATCATTAAGAAAATATAATAAACAAGTTGTTCACACCCTAAAATGTTGGTTTCTAGACTAAGGACGGTAGCATAGTGACACCAAGCCAAAGACGTAGGTATTGCAACTTCGGCATCCCAGCCAGCCAGAAGCACCAATGCCACCTGGTAAGAGCCACTGCCACCCCAACCAAGGTGCCTACAACGGAGGAACAGATACAAGATGCTCTAGAGTTGGGTCATCATTGCCCGCATGAAACCAGAGTCAAGAAGCTCTAGAGTCTTCATACTAAAGATACCTACACTCTAACGACCACTTGCATCACAAACTCAGGGTTTTGCTCCATCCTGCTGTATTCCTACTCCAAAGGTATCCGATGACATTAGCCAAGATAGATATGGTGAAAATCACTACATCAAACCCAAAACAACAAGATTTGGTCAGAACCTTCTACAACCAGAACAGTCCTTCAGTGGGGTCTGGCAGTGGCATGATAGCAGTTCAGTGCTGCTTTGGCTATACTTTTCGTTTCCTCGTCATTATCCTGTTACTGACATTCATTGCACAAACTTCATCATCACTGACACTATCTACACAGCTTCAACCATCACTGTATTGTTGAAGAAGTCTATCTATTCAATCTATTTTGATTTGTTTGTATGGTGGGATTTATTCTGGTTTATGTGTGTCAAATTTCACTGCTAATTTGCTGGGATATCTAATCAAATTAATTTTTTGTCTTGGAAAGCTTCTGTTGACCTGAGCTTGAGCTTTCATTTTTTATAGGAATTGAGCTTGAACCAAAACAAAGTTCGAGGATAGCTTTGAGCAGAATTCAAACTTCATATATTTCAACTGATTTGAACCCAAGTATCACATATTGGTTTTGATAAATTCATCTAGATCCCCAGGTCCAAATCACCTTCTAAAATCATGGATGGAATTCTCATTAGGTAAAGCTTATGCACAGATGTAACTTCCTGCCACAGAATTGCTCCGGTGATGCTGAACTTTCTGTCCTCTATACTTCTGAATCTTTTTTTTTAACAGAAAAAGGAGATATTATTAAGAGAAAAAGAGAATACACTGAGGGAGGATATGATATGCTCCTACAATCAAAAGAAAACAGAATAAGACTTAGCCTCCCGACCCCTTTCCATGATGACAAAGTCAACCCCCTGAAAACATCATGCACTTCAGCCCATAAAGAAGTCATGCAAATCATCCTCCCCCAAAAAAAACCTGTAGAAATTGACCTCATGTTTGAAGATCCTGGTTTTACACTAACTGAAAAATCCAACACCAGGCTAAAAGGGCACCCCTTCATAACATTCTATGCTCATTATTTTTTAAACAACCCTTCAAATAAGCAGAGAAAAACACCTCAAGAATGGAAGGACAAACCCAATATTTCCTAGAAGTTGCAAACAGCCTCTTTTATATTTACAGAGCCACCTCACAGCAAAAACAAATGACTATTTGTCTCTGATTCTCAAGAATACACCATGCTACTGACAGGAAATAGCCTTATTCAGTCGATATAGAGCTTAATATTCCCAACTTTTTCCTCCAAGGCTACAATGCACATAACCTCAGATGATCACGAGCAGAATTATCACTAAATCCAGCATTTCCTCAAGGCTAAATATGACTTTAAGCCACTAGTCTCTAATATATTGGCCAACGAACTTTATTCTCATCCTTCGTCAAGCCAAGAAAACAATAAGAAAATAGAAAAAATCCCAGATAGACACACAACTCAAGTACACCATGAAGATAATAGAAACGGCACATAAGTCATAAATGCCGTCAGTTTTCGCACAGGTGTCTCATCTTTCTTCCTTTCTGCTAGATAACCAACTATGGTCTTTCTGGTGTTGGGGTCAGGTCAAATAGTATAGATAATATTGGAAAGTTTTCTTTGTGAGATATTAAAAAAATACTGGTGATACAAGAGCCAATTTAGCTTCTTAGAATTGAGAAGCACTTTAGACTAAACTAGAACATTTTTTACATGTCCATGGTATCTGGACCTTCTCCCATGTCTATGTCTACGCAACCATGTTCTGTTGTTAAATCATAACAAGGAATACAAGTCATAGTCCACCCCTCCTTTCATGGTTACAACAGATGCCACACCTCAATCACCAAGTCCCTTAATGTAAATATGAAGAAATATAAATTACCGGAACAATAGGATAAGTAACAACAGAATTTTATCCTCTTATGAGTGAATATATGCACCTCTATATATATAACTAGTGGCATATGAATCTAAAAACTAAATTGAACAAACAAGTTGGTGTTTTTGTTATATTGCTCGATATAAATTAGAGACATCAGTTATAACATCAGAAATTTGACCTTAATGATGTAAGACATAAAGATACAAAGCAGCAAAATGTTAAAGAAAACACTCATCAACTGAAAGTAAGCATATAATTTTGTATTTTCTACATACAGAAAACTTAATATATCTGAGAAGCTTAAATCTTAGTTCAAAGATTACCATCTTGACATTGTTGTGGCAGTCGAACAAAGGCTTTCGAGCAATTAAGTGATAGGCAAGGCATGCAAAACTAAAAATATCTGAAGCAGATCCAGCTGAAGATGCTTTGCTACGGACCAGTTCAGGTGCAGTGTAATTAAGAGATGGTTGAAGTGGCAATACAGAATCCTCAACATCATATTCCTGTGTCATGTCATATTAGAATATAACAGGTACATGTTCTGCACCCTGATAAGGTTGACACTCATACAGCTCAAAGAATAGTTTACAATGCACAGAGAACACAATAGTGTATAGCAAACATATCTCAAAGTTACTGCAAAAACAAACTGCTTTAGCTAATTAAGGCAGAAAATAATTAAGGATATCATCATCTTTCAGAAGCATCCATACAAGAAGCATATTAACAATATATAGTATTCAAGTCAGAAGAGAGATGCATCAAAAATAAAATGGAGAAATGTGGAACCAGTTATACAAAAACCTGTCCCAAAAAAAAAGTAACTCACAGCAAAATGGAAGACTTGTACATTAGCCGAATCGCCTGATTGATCCACCGCAATAGCAAAACTAAATCCACCAAGCTTCCAAGCTCCACTTGAAGTAATTAGGACATTCTGTAAGGACATGTATCATTAGATAAAAACATCCAAACCTGATATCAATGGAAAAATATCTAAATGCAGAAACCAAACCAATAAGGATATCTATATGATCAGAAATGTCAAAGTAAAAGCTAGTCCAGCAATTTCTATTTTCTAGCATGATACAAATAGTGCTTCCTTCAACGAGAACACAGAATTGCCTCAAATATCCAGCAATAATTTGCCAGCAACTCCTTCCCACTGATAAATAAGACCTTATACTTAAACGTGTTTGCTTGAACATTAAAAATAAATATGAAATTCTTTGGACAAAGATGACTAGGTTCTTAGGTTCTATTGAAAGAAATAAACAGGTCTCCAAGATGGCAATGGGTATGAAATGTTTATGATTTTGTTCGTCCTGGCAATCTGTTTTTCCCTTATTTGTCCAGTTAATTTCTCATTCCATGATCACCTAACTCGGCACATCAAATTCTTCAACCAGAAAATTTTCTCTCTCTCCCTCTCTCTTGTTCTTTTTTTATCTTTCCCTCATTAGTTTTATCATATATTCTTTTTCTTTAAATATATGTTTAAAAAACACCAAGGGTTTGCAAATCATACAACAAGCTATTTACAAGTCAAAAATAAACTTTTGCTGGGCCCACTTCATCAATCAGATCTCAGTTCAAACCAAAAAGTATGAGTGACTCCTTCTATCTTCAAGTGAATTACTTGCCTTAAATGTTATTCAGTTTTTATGTTTCTATTTAAATTTTGAAACTACAGTATTATGTTTCAAGATTGCTCATATGGCGAGAGAAAAAAAAATTATAACAATATAAAGGACAATAATAATACCAATATTCCCCAGTAGCATCCTTACACCAGCACCATTTATAAAATAGCCATCAAAAGAGAAAATAAACATTCATATGCCTGTATTTCTCTGTGTGTTTATGTGTCTAAACGGAATGTAAATATATAATGACAACCTCAGGTGATATAGCCCGATGAACAAGACGAGCATTGTTATGGAGAAAGTCCAAGGATTCAGAAATTTGAAGTAACCCATGCTTCACCTCCAACAAGCTCATGTCCTGCAAAGCAAAAGCACTCAACGAAGCTACAGATACTATAATATTTACCAAATTGCAAGCAATGACATAAATTCTGATTCCAATCCACACACCCTGATTATATGGTTGTTCTTTAAACACTCATATATCATCTATATAAATGCCTGATAAATACGGAAACTTCATAATCCGGCAAGTTTGAAAATTTTCAGCCTGAAGGCTGCTTTAGTTCAAAATAAAAAGTGCACTCTCCAACACAGAAGTGGAAGGTAGTTAACACTTCATATTCCTATGATCTTCGATGAAATCAGTCCCACCAGATAGACATTTAGAAAGCACTCTAAAATACACAAAACTAGAAAATGAGTAACAATATATAATATAAGACCATGGGATACTGAAAAACCAGAACTCTGAATTTGGTACAGTTAAGAAAGAAAAAAATTTGAATCCAAATAGGCAGCCAAAGAGTAAGTAAGAAAGTTCACTCCTCATTCCCCAGGTAAAGAAAAACTATTTAAAACAAAAACAATATTCCCAAAACAACTACATCTATTCAAATTTTCATCCACAAACGACAGTCACTGTGTGCCACAACCTAAAGTGGCCTTCTTTTATTCACCAAACTGCAAAGCTGCTCTTTTTTATAAATACCCCTAGAGTCAAAATATGTGGCATGTGGAGATTCACTTGATGGAAGAAACAAATAAAGTTCGAATACCTAATGATGGAATCACGAAATTCATCCGGGTATTTCTTAAATTGCAGTGCAATTATCTCATTCAAACGCATATCAAGTAAAGCTCCTAAACCAGTCAAAACTCCAACAAAATTAATAAACTCATTTATCACTAGAACGAAAATTAAAGCCACATTACCGCAACAAATACATACCATTCCCTTTAGCTCCTTAGGCACCTTAGCCACATTTTCAACATTCCCAAGCGCATTAGCCACCGAGGCGAAAAGTGGTTCCGTGACCATCGCCATGGCATTCTTGTTCTCATCAAGCGCCTGCACCACGTGTACCACCCCAGGATGTCTCAGTCTTACCAGCCTCCCGGCATCAGCCCGAATTATATCTAGAAATGAGTCCTCCGCGGCCTTTGAAAGCCCAGCACGAGCGCGTGCCTCCGACAGAGCCCTTTTATCCAGCACCCACACGCAGACCGTGGGATACTGCTGAGGACGCGTGGAGTCACGCGCCTTGGCCGAGTACAACTTCCAAGCGAGACCGGGACCGGCTGAGCCGATCTGATCGAGGATCTCGTAATCCTGCAAGGGTTTGGGTCCGGTGACCTCCTGCACGGTGGTCTGCACGGTCTTCTCTATAACTGCAGCCGTCTTGGCCAGTGCTTGCGTGAGGGTTTTCATGTTGATGGACATCTTATTCCGCTTGCGTTCAAGTTCTTGCTATCAACAAAGAAAAAATTGACGACTGATGGTGTAATCGAGTATCGACAGATACGAAGACTGACCGTATACGACGCTTTTGCGCGTGAACGAATCTCGAAGAAAGGAGATAACGGAGGGAATCGGAAATTTCGATCCGAAAACGACTGCGTTTCTCTGTTTCTTCTTCTTCTTCTTCTTCGTCTTCTTCTTCCACTTCGTCTTCTCTCTCTCTCTCTCTCTCTCTCTCTCTCTCTCTCTCTCTCTCTCTTTCCTCTCTGTTTCTGGCTGTTTTGTTCTTTCCACTCAACTTAAATTCTTCCGGTTGATTTCCTGTTTTCCGTTGGCTAGTTATTTCACATTTTACTTTTTCGTGGTTTACTCAATTTTTTTAAAAGAAAAAATAATTTGTTTTTTCCCCTTGGCGGTTGCATTTTATTTATTTTCCTATTCTTTTTTATTTTATTTTTTACTCACGCGAAGCTTATGATTAACAATCTATGGGACATATATAACATGGCTGGGCCGCTATCAAATTAAGTTATTGAATGTACTTAAGTCTGTTAAACTTAAAAATTTACATTTTTGTTGTGTATAAACTTACTTGTATATAAAGAGGGACCTCTTTTTTTAGATGGAAAAATATTTTTCTTTTTTGAAGATCAATAAATATTTTATTCTATGTATATTATTTATGTGAAAGATGTAGAGAATAACCCATAAAAATTGTTGCCCATTTGAAGATACATAAATACATTTCGGATGAGTTTGAATGCTATGATGGTTATGAGTTCTTTATTTAGTCTAGCAAAATATCAATTTCTTGTTCGATAACCCGTTTTGATCTCCATGGCTAATAATTTCGTATTCAGTTCTTGTTTCAAATTTATTCTTTTTAATTTTTTTATTTAGAATGTTGATCGATTAAATGCTTGTCAATTTAAAGCAATAATTTTTAAGCATACCATCAAACTGAAAACTCTATTTGAATAAAACTGGTATGCGGAATGGATATTGGGATAATTATTGGTATAATAAGCACCCACTAAGAAAACAATACATTGGGTTCTTTGTGAGAATCTGGTTTGTGCATCTAAGTTGCAATTAGCCTTTGGTTCTTTCTTAATTTTGGTCTCTAGCTCTATTGTTTTTGGTTCTAATTATTGTAAATCTGTCTTTGTTTAAAAAGTATTAAATCACTTATAATATGCTTTTTCTAAGTAAATTTTTGCTTTTTCAAATATGGTTTGTTAAAAACTATTAACTATTTATTGATAGTAATAGTCTTTTAATGCTTCCCCTTAAATTGTCAACATCATTGCAATTTTTCAAATAGTATACATATTAAAAATATGTACCAGAAGAGTCTCTCTTTTATGGACTTATTTGAATTTTAATGAAAGATTTCATGAAAAATTTAGGATTTTGATGATTAGTCGTGGGCTGAGTATTATCGCAGGTTATGGATTATTGGTGAAGCCGGTTGAAAAGGGTAGCAGGTGATGGATTATCATTCCAGCTAGTAAGTAACTAAAGAAATAAAGAATGCATAAGGCTAATTAGAGAAATATATTTTTAAATTTATTCAGAAAAAATAAAAAAAAAAGGTCTCAGTATATAAAAACTCAATCTTTATGTTTTAAGGGTTAAATATTTTCACCATTTAGAACTGTTTTTCAAATAAAGAAAGAGAATCTTAGAGAAGTGTTTTTATTAATCAGCCTCGAATCAAAGCCCAATGAAACTTAGCTTCAACTCCTACGGATTCAAACAAGTTAAAGAGGGTGCTAGTATGATTCACCCACAACATCATGCCTCCAGCAATTTCAGCTATTAGAATCTGATCATCAGGTTCTCATCAGTAGAATCTGACCCATTTTCCTGTTTGAATCAGTTCTCTCAAGAACTTCTTGCTTCCAGGAAGTTCGCTAGTTCTCAGTTTCAGGCTTTCAGGCCACTTTTAACCAAAGCATATTCACTCCTTCAAATAAATCAATTTTCCAAATTTAATGCTTGAGCAAGAAGAGGGTTTAGACATAATTTCAATCCGAAACTGATCATGAAACAGATAATCTTTGATCATCATGTTTCCTTGCATCAGAAAGCAATGAATCCAGCATCCTGACCCAGGGCTCAGAGGCAAGTGAATTTTGCATGGAACTTTCACTAACAATGATGTGCTACTCCATCAGAATGCTACTCAAGCTTGGTTCACTTATTGCTTTCATGCAATTACTGTGGGGATGACAAACACTGCTGAAGAGAACAGGTGAACCCGATTGCTGTCTTTTCTGCTAGTTTGTTACCAATAATCATTGCAAGAACATAGCCTATCTTTAAAATGGTGAAAGCGATTCGAGTCTCTCACCACAATTTCCTTTCCAAGAAGATCTGATGCTAACTTCATGAAGTTATGGCAGTCAACACAGATTCGAATATTCTTCATTATTCGTATTAAACCCTTATTGCAACGCAAACTGCCTTCATTCATTATGGCAAATGCCAAAGCCAGCTTCTCACTGTGATAGAATAATTGTTCTTCCTTGTGTTCCTCCTCTATGTCATGCAAAGCCAAGTTTGTTTCTGGTACATAACCCATTTCCTTTAACTGTCCAATTAGTTTTTCAAGCTTGGTGTAGATAGCTTCTTTTTGTGAATGATGTCTTCCTCCCGAGGCGAACTCATGAACATGATTACCAATCTCAATCCAGCTTAAACCAGGTTCCTTTTTCACTCTAGATCCCTTCATTTCTTTTCTCGCCTGCCCTGCTTTGTCGAAATTACCACCTAAGCAATATATGTTTGACATTTGCACATAACTTAATGAATTGTCGGGTTCCAACTCCTTCAGCTTGTCTGCAGCTAACTTGGCTAACTGTGTCTCTCCATACTTCCTACATGAACCAAGCAGTGCACTCCAAATGACAGAATCTGCTTCCATTGGCATTTTCTTTATAAGTTTTTCAGCCTCGGGAACACGCCCAGCTCGGCCCAAAGCATCAACCAAACAAGCATAGTGGTCTAGTTGGGGTAAAACTCCATAATTCTCGAACATTGAGTCAAAGATTTTGATTGCTTCTTCCACCATTCCAGAATGGCTGCAAGCTGAAAGAAGGGAAACAAAGGTGGTGGGATCAGGCTTGACATTCATTCGTGAAAATAGCAGCAAAGCCTCATTAGCTTGGCCATGTAAAGCATAGGCCTTGAGTATTGAGTTCCAAGATACAACATCTCGTGACTCCATTTCATCAAACACCTGCGCGGACATAATAATGGAGCCGCACCTAGAATAGGCGTGGATCAAAGCATTTTGCAGCACTGTGTCACCCGCAAAACCATATTTAATTACTTGTGAATGAACTGCTGAAGCATGCAGTTCAGTCACAAGGGCCGCACAAGCTTTTAAGATGATTGAAAAGGTATACCAGTCTGGAGCCAGCCCCTCTCTTTGCGACTGACCAAAGAGGAACATAGCCATTTCTGGGTTCTGCTCTGCAAATGCTGTTATAATACCTGTCCAAGAAATGATATCGGCACAACAGCTTGTCTCTGTGAAGAGCCTGTAACAGTCAGCAGCATCTCCTCCAAGAAACGAGTAAGCCTTTATGAATGCAGTTGCCACCCCGACTTCCATTGAAAACCCTGTTTTGACACTGAGACTGTGCAGTTGAAAACAGAATTTCAGGCCTGAATCAACCCCAATGTCATTGCTTCCGCACAGAGCAGAAGAGACACTAAGCAGTGTGGCACGATCAAACCCAGTTCCTTCCCGATGCATTACAGTAAAAAGATCGATGGCTCGGGTCCCAAATTTGCAAAACTGAAATGCTTCAACCATCGAATTCCAAGAGATCAGATTTCTGAACTCCATGGCCTCAAACACTGCCCAAGCGTCATCTACAGCACCATCATCATCCCCACCGGCTCCAAAACTCTTACCATACAAACTAACGAGAGCATTCGCTACGTAAATAGAGGTATCCAACGCCATTTTCACTGCCAGCCCATGAACCTGTTTGCCATGCACGTATCGACATGAACTCAACACGCTCGCGAAAGCAAACTCGTTAGGCCGATATTGCATCAACATGCACGAAAAGAGACGGAAGCACTCGTCTCCGAAGCCTCTCTGAGCGTAACCCGATATTAAAGCAGTCCAAGAGACGACATTTCTGCTAGGCATTTCGTCGAAAACCTGGTGTGCACAATGCAAGTCGCCGCATTTAGCGTACATATTGATGAGATGGTTGCTGACAAAGACGTCAAGCCATCCATAAGGCTTTCGGGAAAGCACCATGTGTTGATGTAAGCGTCGACCTTGCTCGAGGTCTCCATGGCGAGCGCATTCATGGAGGAGACTGGCATAGACTGCTCGAGACTGAAACTGGATTGGCGCTGTGTAGAACAACGATAGAGCATCTCGGAGATGCCCGCGCATGGAAGGCACGCGCACTCTGCTGAAAAGATCGTTGGCTTCCCCAGTTGAACTGGGAAGCGATAGAAGATTGCTGCCGCTGAAGTTTCGGATAGAGATGCAGCACGCGCGTATGACTGGATGTGACATCACGCGTGGCAAAATTTGCATGGATCATTATTTTCATGTAATGGTGTCAGTTGACCTTCCCCATGAAGTTTTGGTACCAATATAATTATAATATTATTGAAGT